CAGTCGAGTGTATGCTGGCCGACGTTGTGTATATGTTCGAGACGAGACTGAGCAACAACAGAGTGAGGAGGTGGATGATGCCGCTGTCACAAGTAGCAAGTCAACTGTTCAATGTTCTTATATACCAGTGAATTGATGTTTTTAATATTCGTAGTGGTAGTTACGCCACAAACTTATTAAACGATTGTTTTGCCCCATTTCTTGGTTTATTCAATTTTCTAAGATTTCTTTTAATTAAAATAATAGCTGCGGAACCAGCAATCAACCAATACATGAGATCCAACTGAAACAAATAAATAATTAATAAAAAAAAGGAGGTTACTGTGGGATTTTACGACAGTTTAAGTTTGGTGACAACAGTACCATCACCAGTAAGTCGTTTCTATATCTATTGCAGCTGTTCTCACATGGTATTCCGCGGAACCATAGGGATCCAGCAGAGATCTGATGTTGAAAATGCTCCTACTTGAACTGGAATCTGATTGGATGATGAGCAGCATACACTCCTGCCCTCTTCTTGTTGCCTGCCGTCTTGAGTTGAACTATTTTTAGTGAATTTAGGCCAAATTTTTTTAATATTTTTCTCCAAATCTGAGATGCTGATGTCGTTCTTAAGTCCTCTGACGATAGTTTTCAGCTTTCTATTCGACGAAGAATCCTTTGAAGTTGTAGTTGAAACGGCCATCGCCTGGGGGTCGGCTTCTCCCTTCTCGCTCCGCCGGAACAGTGGCTGCTGGTTTATCTTTGCATATTTAGTAATAGTATTAATATTTTCAAAAGTATTCGGTACTAAAACGGACAACCCTTTTAAGGATGTTTTTCCAAGACTTTGTAGTCCTATAAAATGCTTTTTTATAGAATAATATGCTATTTTCATAACTGCTGTAAGTTTGCAACAGTTATTCATAACTGTTAGGTCAAGCTTAGCCTATCTTAAACCAGCGCCCTTTAAATTTATCCTGAATGTGGCGCGAAACGTCAATATGGAGAAAAGCCACGGTTTTGATTAAATGAAAAGCATTTGTCGCCTTATTTCTTATTATTCAATGTTGCATTATCTGAAATATAAAAATTAGCAAAAAATGAGATTAAGACAGTGATTTTGATGATTTTCATCAAGGTAGAAAATGTAGCCAAATTAGCGATTTTTAAAAAAGCTTAATAACTTTTAAAATATTTTAGTTATCTGCCCGTTATGAAGTCCAGATATTTTTTTTATTGCAAAATGACATAAGCAGCTTAAAATTATATCTTTGCTTGGAGTGTAAGGCACTTAAGCTATGAATTTTTAATTTTCTTGGCGAAAGAGCTTCGAAAAATCGTGTTAAAAACGCGGCTAGTACACGCCAAAGTGGATATTTTTTAATATGATTATCAGTGATTCGACAAATATAGATCGATTATTTAAAAATCTCCTTTTGTCTAAAATTAAATGCGTTTAAATATTAAATCGAAAATATTTAGCTTTTTAAAGAGCCAAATAACGAAATAGCAACAGCTGAAGACCCCTTAAAGCTTGTTTTTCGAAACTCTGTCACCAAGGAAAATAAAAAAGCCATTAATTTCAAGCAATGTGATGATTTTAAACTATATACATAATCTTGCCTTATCTGAAGAATTATCTGGGCTTTAGAACAGATAACTAACTTAAACATTTTAAAAGTTATTAAACCTTTTCAAAACATCGCCAATATGACGACATTTTCCCACCTAGATGAAAATTATCATAATCACTGTCTTATTCTCAGTTTTTGGAAATTTTTATGAGCCCATCAGTTAATGCAGCATTGAAGTAAGTTTTTAAATGTTACAAAATTAAACCACAAACGTCTATCATTTTCACAAACCTGTGACTTTTCTCCATATTAACATTTTGCACCGTTTTCAAAATAAGTGTAGGCAGTGCCTTTAGATAGACTAAACTTGACCTAACAGCAATGTGTAACAGTAGTAAACTCAAATCAGTAATAGAAATTCCAAGTACAAATCAGAAGAGCAAAAAACGTGTTTTTACATGTAATAAGGCTCTTATAAGTTGTAATCCTACTTTACTAAGTTGTGATCCTAAAGTTTCAATTAACAATAAGAACCTTGAGAAGGACCAAGTTAACCATAAGAATAATCGGAATTCTTATTGGAACACAATCAGCAGAATAATCGATTCCCACCTTGTTTTTTTTTTGCTGCAATTTTAAGGAACAAAAAATATAGGAAGTTCGATCCCCAGTGGCGGTTTGAAACCCACCCAACTTCAGATTAATGGCTTGTCTGGAAAAGGTGGCCTGTGCGCAGTTGCTGACTATATTGTCACAATGATGCCGTTGGTCACGAAATTGTGGGGCTTCAATCTCCAGGAATCCCCCTGACCCACATGGACTGTTTTGGAATGCTTTACTTACTTATTGAACTAGTTATAGACAATAATGAATGTGAACGCAGTATGAATTTTATGCAATACGGAATATTGAAACTTTTTTTTGTCCTTTATAAATTTATGAAATTTAATTTTTTAAGTATGGTAATGCTGTGTTGCGAGGTCTTTGATTTTGAGTCGAGGTTAAAAAAATAATTTAGTTACAAATTTTGAAGTCTGGTTGTTAATTTTTTTTTTTTGGACAGAATTTAACTCTTTCTTTTTCTCAACTAGGTTTGTCGAGTTCAATTCCATTCCACCACGCCCAGAAACACCCAGTATTGGGATTGCGGTAATGATGATAATGAATTTATATGGAACACAACACGTAACGCATATACTTTAGTGTATACAACACATGGTCATAGTGAAAAAAGGTAAGGGATTAGTTCAAAAAATATTTTATGTGCAGAGGGAGAACAACACCAGGAATAACTTTTGATTCCGATCTTCACGTTCAATCACAATTAATGGTTCGAGGGGACGACCTCAAATATGCAAATTAATTACTGCAGACAATATTTTAAGTTACGAAATAAGATTCAAAAACGTATTTTCTCTGAATAATCATACCTTTTTTTCCGACGGATTTTGATTTCTGACCCCAGAAATATATGGGTTGCTGCAATCTGGGAAATATATGGTCCCAATAATTTGGGCAGGAGACCTCTCCAAACTTTGAACCCCTTAAAGTTATACTTTTTGCCTAATATGTCAGATCTGGAAAAATATTTAAGCAAATTGAAATATTTTTGCACACAATTATAAAATTCGATTTTCCAAAGATAATTCAATGTAATTATTCAACTTTTATTATTTATTTAATAATAGATATAAGATATACAAATTTCACATTATTTTAAAGAGTGTTACGGCTGAGTACAACATTTCAGCGAATTCGGTCAAATAGTAAGTAAGAAATCGTATTTTTTAAAAAAAAGTTAGATATTTAAAGTTTAATTTCGCACGAAGTCAATATTTTACCGTTTTCGTTCAAATAATTCAAAAGTCGCATCTATTTTTTAGTCACAAGTCTTTTAAAGAATTTGCATGGCTAATTAATTAATTAATTAGAAATCTTGAGCAGAAACAGGGTTACATCCTTGTTATTTGTGGTTGATATTAGTTCAAGTTAAGAGAAGTCATCAGTCGTTAAATTCTAATCAGACTTTATTCAGATGACAACTGGTGAAAACAGAAATCTCACCCACTCTCGCAGCTGGAGAGGGTGGACAAACATTCAGACAATTCCGGCACAGCTTATCAGGTCCACATCATACTTCAAAAGACATGTAAAAACTATCGTTCTTGCATTAAATACTATAACCAAAAGAGGTAAAAAGGCCCAGTCGTGCATTCCTTGTATCCCTACACATCATCGAAAATCGTTTAATACCTCCTAATATGGAAGTGAAAGAAGGAAAGATTTTAAAATAACTCCTCCTTTGAAACATAAATCTAATTATAATTCATTGGTATGTTTTCTGCCTTGAAGTCCCAAAATAGAATATCTCTACACCTATTCTTTACCAAAGACATTTTATGAAAACGAAAGAGTTTCAATGTTTTTATTAATATAATATTTTTTATAATTTTTGTATTATACACACACACACAGATATATAATGATGTGATGTAAAAATCTGCGTACCTTGCAATTCAAAATTTTTTAAATTATTTATTATGTGGTATCATATCTTTGGAGTAATGAATTTTACGATTGTGGGTAAAAAAAATTTCAATTCGCCTTTGGAAAATTCTAGAGATAGGTCGAAATAGAACAACCATTTGAAACAACTATTGGAACTATATTTCCCAGATTACGGCTATCCAGATTTGTGCGTTAGAAATCTGAATCCGTTAAAAAAAAAAAGTATGCTTATTCAAAGAAACTACGTTTTGTGCCTGATTTCGTAATTTAAAATATCGTCTGATCTACCATTAAGATTCAGTCCTACAACGTGAATACGGATTTAGAATGCGCAGATACGGCTAAAAAAAAAGTCTATTTTTCTTCAACACGTTGACTCCACACACGTTCACAGTGAAATCTCCTTTAGCCTTTAGGCCACGAGCATGCTGCACGCTGAGCACTCAAATCCGATATTTTAATAATGCGAGTCTCTGATGGTGGTCTCAAGAATATCTCGTTTCATTTTTTTCCATGGTATCATGTCTGTTTATTTGTGTCCGTTGCTTCGCATCTGTTACTCATATCGCCACTTTACACGATCAGTTTGAAACTTTGCACAGTAAAGAGGAGTATAACTTAAAATCTTTACCCTAATTCGTCGAAATTTCGAAAACCAGAATGGAAAACTTATTTCTAAGTGATTCAAATGGCAGAGAACAAGAAAACTTTTACAAGCCTCACAATAATTTTCTTAATAAATCATTTTTGCATTACCTTTATAACAATTCAATAGTTTTATTACTTCTTACTTCCTGTAAAATATCTTTCCCAATACATACGAATATCCTTTGCAAGTAGTCAAATAAGTCATCGTGTAAAACAGTTTTTTTTTCTTATTGTGAAAAATATACTTTTCTGAAAAACTTACTTATTTTTTTACAGTGCGGGCTTCACATAGAAAATTAACTAGAATTTTGGTGATGCCTTTTTAAGGACAGAAATATCAAACGTAATCATATTGTATGGATGGTGCTACTTCTAGAAGCACCACCTCACAATGTATAAAAATATCATCGAGAAAAGGAGACACCGTCCAATTGTAACACATTCTCGGCATTCTGTCAGGGAAAACTAAATTGCGTTCGGTGCTTAGTTTTTTTTAGAAAATTCAGTTTAATATTTAAGTATATTTTTTATTTTAAATCTGAAGTATGTTACATTTTTCATACATCATGATTATTGTCACAAGTACTTTGCAGTATTGTTTTTATTTACATTTAATTCAACGTTGATTAATAATTTTAATCTCACATTTGAATCGTGCAACCGTTGCATTGAAAAAAAAATTGTTTAAAAATGAGATGGAATAAAATTTTTTCAGTTAACAGGTTTTAAAAATCACATACATAGAACTTCCTTCTTTTGGAGATAATTGTATGTTCAAGTCAAGGTGTGTAAAGGTTAAAACTGGATAAAATATACCAATTTACTTAATAAACTTCTTTCCTTTAGAGATAATTGTATGTTCAAGTCAAGGTATGTAAAGGTTAAAACTGGATTAGATATACCAATTTACTTAATAAACTTCTTTCCTTTGGAGATAATTGTATGTTCAAGTCAAGGTGTGTAAAGGTTAAAACTGGATTAAATATACCAATTTACTTAATAAACTTCCTTCATTTGGAGATAATTGTATGTTCAAGTCAAGGTGTGTAAAGGTTAAAACTGGATTAGATATACCAATTTACTTAATAAACTTCCTTCCTTTGGAGATAATTGTATGTTCAAGTCAAGGTGTGTGAAGGTTAAGACTGGATTAGATATCAAGTACCAATTTATTTAATAAATTGTACTCGTTATCATTAAAAATAAAGGGAAAAAAGGGACTAAAATTAAAAAAAAAAAAACCTCTAAACTTACAGTTGTTTAAAGAAGGTGAAACAAATTTGTTTTCAGACATTAATAGATTGTTTATTACAGGAAAACTATTGTTGAACTTAAATGCTCCAAGGAAGAAACAATACCATTGTTAGAGGTTAAGGGAGAGATCCAAACGAGGGTTCATGTAAATATATTACTGTTAATAAACTTTTCTTTTTCCCCAAAGAGTTATTCCCCAAAGAGTAAGAAATGTATTATAAAATAATACATTTCTTGTGACAAATTTGCTTATTTATAGTGCATACTCTGACTTCTATGCTATTTCAATTTGTAAACGTTTTTATTTATAAGGAGAAATATAGTTCACTTTTTTTTCTTTAGATTTTACAGTGCGAAAAAAAATGGACCACATTAAATAACTTTTGAGATAATGATCAGATCTTCACATTCTAGGAATCAATCTTAATGGTTCCAGGGGATGACCTCGAATATGCTGGAAAAAAATGGACCACATTAAATAACTTTTGAGATAATGATCAGATCTTCACATTCTAGGAATCAGTCTTAATGGTTCCAGGGGATGACCTCGAATATGCTAATTGATTAGTGCAGACGATATTTTAAGACGTTTAATAACTATAGGGATGCCAGCGATTTAGCAGCGTAAAAGGGCTAAAAAATACATTATTTCTTCAATATTAGTTCATTTATATATAATTTTACTATTATCAAATAAAATTGTACATTCCAGAAGGTTTCACGCTTCTATTCTAATTAAATAGAAAGTTTCAAGATTTGTTTTAAAAATAAAATGACATTAAGTAAAAAAGATTTTAATTGAAGATTATTAAAGAGGTACATTCTTATAAAATGTTTTATAAATTCAGTTTTCTTTTAACTTACGAAGCAAACATTAAAAATATGCAAAATTAAGGTTGGCTGAAAATTTAAATTCAAATGTTATGTTATTTCATTAAACGTTATTACAGTAAAACCACTCGGAAGCGACCATTTTCTGCTCCACAGTAAAATGGTCTTTAATATGGAGGTTGATCGACCTTAGGGGTTACCTCCATTGACTTCAAAATGCTATCGAAGGTACACGAATTTTTGCAAGTGATTTTAATTTTAGTTAGTGTCATTTTCCTTTGTGAGGAAATTTCACTTGTGTTGGCATCATGAAAACCAAATCGATGAACAAAATTTAGCATCAACAAAAATGACCCCTACTGTTGTAATTATGTGTAAAAACTAATTTATCAATTATGAGTGATAGAACAATTTTAAATAATTAAACAATTATGTTCTTTGTCTAAGTTTGCATTTAATTTTATATCATAGAAATTAGCCTACTCTAATAAGTTGAGACGCCGACTCCCCAATCAGTAGGTAAATTTTGAAGAAGTTTTTTCAGACACAGTTGGGAAGCACTAATATGTGCGAAATGTTCTTAACATTGTAGTCGAAGCTATCTGAGAGCAGATTTTTGGCATATGGCACAGCAATCCAAGCATTAAAGCTGAAGGCAGCAGGTACATTTGAAAGGTGAACCAACTGACCATTGAAAGTGGCTAGTTTTATATACACTACAAATAAGGGATTTATTAAAAGCATAGCTCTTTCACAGGTACATAGGCTCACATAGTGATTTCATACTGGAGAAAAAAAAGGAATTAATAAGTTCTCAAATGTTTGCTGGAGTAAGTCTCCGTTATCTACCCCAGAATGTCCCAATCACACTTTGTAAGGTTAAGGTCTGGAGACCTTACCAGCCAAACTAACTGGAGAATATTTTTACCTCTTTTGAAATTCGCAGACCAGATGAGCTATGTTTAACAGCACATTGCCGATCATTAAAATGAAATCAGGGACAATTTTATCATAGAAAATGCAAACATAGTAGTCTATAAACCTAATCATATATTCCTCATCTCAGTTAAAATAGTCTCCTTTAAAGACATGTAGTGTTTTATGACCATTAAACAAAATGGTTGCCCAGATCACTGAATCTCCATGCGTTAATGGCCGATTTCTTAAGACATTTTTGTCCCCGGTTCATAATTTATTAAGATCAGCTCTTCCTTTCAATGGATTTAGATTTTTTTGACTTTCTAAAGAGGTGTAATCTGGAAAATATATTTCCTGGTCCTATAGCTAGGTCAGGAGAGCAGCCGAAAGTTAGACTTGATTAATTTTAAATATACTAGCACTAATTAGTATTTATGAATTTAATCCTTTTCACCAGGAAATGAGATTAACAAGTAGATGTGCATGTCCTGATCTTTGCTCTGATGTTCCTGTTTCTGGTAGTTCTACATTGAGATTTCATTTTGTAAGTCTTTAAAACTATGTGAAAAGTATTTCTAAATGTTTGTACTTATATATTTTTCATTATAATTTTAATTTAAAGGTTGTAGTGTTTTATTCACATATGAAGAGTACAAATGCTCGTAATCATAAAATTTATTAACTTACATTATTTAACAACACTCTTAAGGCTGTGGTAGCCAAGTAGTTAGAGTATCAGGAGCAGTATAACATTATAGGTGCTCATAAAATCAGTGGAAATAAAATTCCGTTGCTCAGTTTTTGAACAGTACCATGGGTACAGAAATCCCTCAAAAATTTCCTTCCATTTAGGATCTATGGTTAAATTGAGGAAGTGGCCTCAAAAATTTTGTTCATTATGTAATTTTGGTTGGTAATTCTATTTAAAAATATTCACAGTAACGAATGTATGTCGAATTTAAGGTTCAAATTGAATAATTTCCATTAATGCATATTTTTCTTTGATGTATGCCATTTTCCTTGCAGGTTACTATTATTTGTTTCATGTTTCTCACTATGATATTTCAACTGATTTTTCACATTTAGATCATGTAAGTAATTTTTAAAGCAAAACTTTTTCTTATAGAATAAAAAGTGATGATTAAATTTTTTGTGTTTAGGTTATATTTTTGCATTTTGTTTTCTTGATGGTTTCTTTTTTACTAAAATGATACTAGATTACTTAGCAATTTCAAATACAATATTCTTGTTACATTGGAATATTAATTAAAATCATTTTTCAGAATGACCCTGGCTTTAGAATAGTGGAACGAGAGATTGCAAAACCGAAACTGCCTATGAAACAACCAAATTTTTTTTGCAAACACAAAAATTTTTTTTAATAAAAATTTCCTAATTTGGAGACATATTTTTAAGCTCTCTATACCAAAATATTTTAATAAGTTATGAGTAACTGAAAAATATAATTATTCGCAAATAATAAGAAAAAAGCTATTACCATACATGCCTGTTGTTAATTGTAAAAGTTGTATTTTAATTAATTTGTGTAAAACAGTGAGTCTTAAACAACAGTGACAAACAAAACAGTGAGTCTTAAAACTATGTTTGTGAACTGTTAAGCATTTGAAAATATAGAGCATTTAATTTATTGTCAATAACACTTAACTGTTGTAATTTTTTTTAATAACAAGTTTACTTTGAACACATACAAGATCTTTTGTAACTGTTATAAATATACTTATACAGGGTGTATAGCCAAATTTTTCAACAAAAAATAAACCCCTTTCGGACATTTTTTAAACACTCAAAAAAACATTTTCAAGCACTTTAAAAAACATCAAATAAAATTAATTAGGCAGGACAGGCAAGTTTGGAAAAATTGACTATTTTATCCAATTTTCACAATCATGTAATAAAAAAATAAAAATAACCTTTTGACATAGTCTTCGAAAATTGTCAAAACCCCAAATTTTGGCAAAAAATATAATTATTAGTTATTATAAATATGAAGTATTTCTAAATTAACATACCGTTATGTGGGGCTACTTTGTGCAGGATTTCGCAGTTTTTGAACTTTGACATGTAAAAAAACTATGTTAATTCAAACTTTAGTAAAATTTATCGATATTATATTCATAACTGGACTCAAACAAGTGAATTTGATCAATATTGGCATTATTTGTAGGTAATATTTACAAATAATAAGTCAAAATATACCTTGCACAAAGTAGCCCCCAAATGGGGCTACTTTGTGCAGCGATAGGAATTCAGTTTAATAATCATGTTTTTAGTAAAATATTGATATAAAATTGTTAAAAAAGTTAATTGTTGACATTTTTAAAGACAAAAACATCAAGATATGTAAAGATATTAGTTTGAAAATAATTTTCAGCGTTAAAAAACCATTTTTTTTGAAGAATTTTTTCTTAAAAAGAATGTTTATTTCAAAACATTTGAGTTTAAACAAAAGGAAACCATATACATTTTTAAACATTGAAATGGATGAAATTTTAAAAATAATAATTATTACATATTCATTAACATTTATAATATTGTTAAATTTGAACATAACATCCTTGAATGAACATGACAGAACTTGCTCTTCAGTTTCTGTCAAAATTACCCGATGTCCTATAAAATATATTTTTATGTGTTAAATCGTTTGATTAAGTCATTAGAAAAATCTTTGTAGAAGAAAAATAATAGTTTACCAGGAAGTTTCACGTGTTTCTTGTGAATTTTATTAGAGATAGTATTTCTGTGGATTTTGTACTTCCGAGAAGCTTCTGCAATCGACATACCACCAGCAACTGCTTGCAAACATTGTTGCAGCTTTTCTAAAGTGTAATCACGGTAGTTTCTCGTTCCAGGTATTTTTTTATAACGTCTGACCATTTTTCTGTCGAAAAAAAAAACGAATGAAACTTTGCACAAAGTAGCCCCAAAGTGCATTTTTTTTCATTTTCCTTTTATTTGTTATTAATTTTCAAATTTTTTTAACGCTAACATGACATAATTGTTTATTAATATATAAATAAAAAATTTTGCACTTACGACAATTGTTATATCAGCGTCTTTTCATTTCACAACTAAAGTTTCCACGCACATTTTTCGATATCCAACGTTCTCGGAAAGTTGTTGACATTGGATAAACAAAACACATTCTGAGATTATTTTAAAATTCGAAAAAATGTTTGTAGTAATAGAGGAGACTTCTATCTTCAAATTCCACACATTTTTAACGTGAAAAAAAACATAATACTGAATAGCAGAACTTGAAAAGTAACAAATTCGAATTTGCACAAAGTAGCCCCACATGACGGTACATGTAAAATAACAAGTGTTCCACCAATTATGTTCTTGAATTATTTTAACGTAAAACTCTTTTTGTTTTGAAAACCCAAATTTTGGTCCAGAAAATATTAAATAATTATAAATAAAAATGTGCTGAATTGCAATTTATCCAATCCCTTAATTTGTTTAATTATTATAAATAAAAATATAAAAACAATTATCTTAAAAAAAAAAACACTTAACAATCATCTTATTTTTTATACGCAAAATTAGCTTTCATTTACTTGATTGATTACCAAGAAATAGTTTTGAAGCCTTCTGTAGCTTCAAGTTCATTTTTCAGTTTTGTATGAATAAGATCGAAATTTGAAGCTGTTCTTTCGATTGATGCTCAGCTGTATAGACTAGAATGTTGAACTACTAAACTATTATAACATAATAAAATAATCATTTAATTGGGAAATTTATTCTAATAACTGGACTACATATTGATAGTAACTTAATTAAAGCCTTGAATTGATTTATTAAAAAAATTATTAACTCATTTAAACAAACATTTATATTTTTTGTACATTATAATTAGCTTACTTATCAGAGAAAATATATCATAGTGGTTTACTGGAAATATTCATGTACATATAAGCAGAAGTGCAGAAATTTCTCAGTCCCTAATAATTCCTCAGAACGAAGTTTAATCTAATAACTCTGTATAACCTAGTAACACGAATACATTACTTTGGTTTTCATTTGCAATTATTGCATAAAATTTCGCAAACTTAGCTTAAATATTTATAGAGATATGGTTATTTTTATAAAAAAACTAATTTTCTTGCCTTGCGTTTTTTTGCTATAATTTTAAAAATAGTCAGTAAAAATGAAAAAAAAAAAAAAAATTTGAACAACTTAAAATTAAATTCAAAAATTTAGTTTTAAAATTTCAAAAAATTTTGCTTAAAACTACACAAGGCATGAGTATTTAAAGGTTCATTTGTACTGTACTTGCACAAAAAAAAATTTCATTTTCCCCTCCATAATTTGGTAGCAAATTGTATTTGTCAATTAATGAAAAAAAATATAATTTGAATATAACCTAAAATGTTTTGAGCAGTTTTCTATGTAGTTTTTGTACTTTTCAGATTAAAGCTGAAAATAATCAGGGGTTTTCCACAAATTTTATTTTGTAGCATTGCAAATGATTCCACCTTACCTTAAAACCAAACAGCAAGAACAAACAAATGCAACTTTTTTCAATAGCTGCCAAATACAATTTATAACAAAATTCTGAAAGAAAAAAAAATTAAACATTTTTTTGAGCATGAGCTGTACAAAAGAACTACTTTAAATACTCAATACCTCGTTGCATTATACAATACTCAATACCTCTTTAAATACTCATACAATTCTCCTTTAAATACTCAATATCTTGCATAGTTTTAAGTGAATTTTTTTCAAATTCTAAAACAAAATTTTTTAATTTAATTTTAAATTGCTCTAAAATTTTGTCTAAGTTTACTGATAATTTTTAAAACTATAAAAAAAAAAAAAAACCAAAGACAAAAAATTCGTTTTTTTTTTTTTTAAAATAAAAATTTTCATATCCCTATACATATTTAAGCTAGAATTATGAATTTTTATGCAATTATTGCAAATAACAATTAAAGTAATCGACGCAGGTTACAAGCTTATTGCTTAATTTTCTTTCAGAATGTTTAAAAATACTAGTTTTATTTTTATTTTTTTTTTTGTAATTTATTGTGGGCCCCTCAAACCTCTGCAAACTTTAAACCTTATTCCAAACAACTCTTAAAGTTACAAAATAATCCTCAGATTATTTCTTGAGAAACTTAAAAAAATATATATTAATTTCAAAAACCAACAGTGTCTCTTCCATTATTGTAGTGTACCTTCATCCTTTTATAAAACATTAAAGTATTTTATAATGTAAATGTGTAAATGAAGCTGCTTAAAAAAATATATAAAAATTTTAATAAATTAGTATTTAATAAAATCAACAAGTGGCACAAAAAATAATCTCTATAAAAGTAAAAAAATAAGTTGGCATTTAATCAATGGAATGTTACAAAATTGTGGTAAGTTCACCTTGAGTAGATGAGGTAAGTATTTTGCTTCATTAAACTTCACCGTAAGCAGTTCTCTGACCACAACAAGAAAAGGTAAAAGCAACACCTTCCTAAGAAAAATAATTAATAACTTTAAATTTAAATGGAACATTTGAAAAATATTGCATGCACTTCAATCGAATTAAGCAATTAGATATCTAAGCCAGTTATGTCATTTTTTAGAAATACAAATTGTAGAAAACATGAATGTATTTCAATAAAAAATTAAATATAAATACATATTTTCATTTAGTACCCCATTAATCATAGTTAATTTATTTTTACACCAGTTCACTTGATTCTTTTAAAAAGACATATGAATCTCTTACAATTAATAGAAATATATGTCCATCAAGACGAAAGATAAAACATTGAAGCATGGAATTCCCAGATTACTATATCAGCTATATTAAAAGAAAATATTCGTAAATGACGTGAATTTAAGAACCTGCTGTTAACAACAAAGAAAAACACGTCTTTCCTCAAGGCAAATCAGCTTTATTGTTTTTTCTTAAACATTATTATGGTTTGGATGATGTGTAATTAATAAGTATTAATTAAAATCTCTGGCAATTATTTTAAAGTAAAAAACCAACATTAAAAGGTGAAGTTAAGCACAAGTTTTATCAGATTCAAATTATACTGAATGGAATGTATTCATAATAGTAATGTGTATAGTAAAGTCTTTTATTTAAACTTACAATAATTAGTTTGGGCAACTCATTCCAAAACTCATAGTTTGGAATCAATTCTGGACCATGGGCACCATTGCAGAAGTTCCAGCCCATTCCAATTATGAAATAGGCNCTAAAAAAAAAAAAAAAAAATAAGATAAACAAAAAGAAAGTATTAGTAACTGAAATACACTTTTTAAAGTAAAATTTAAATTACAGAAACATTTGAACAATTGTTACAAATAAGCATAATAAAAAATAATAATTAAAATACCTTTTAATAAATAAAATATATATTAAAAAAATAATAAAATATCTTTCATACGCAATCAACAACTTGCTTCCTGTTGACATTCCTTCATCAGACGGATCAGGATTTTTAGAACCACATAAATTTGGGCATGCACATTTACTACTTAGCGTCATTGTCTGAGAAGAAAAAACCCAAGTCAAAGTACTATTTTGAAAAAATAATCTTATTTTAAAATACAGATTTTACTAAAGACCTAAGAGTTAGAATATTTTTTATGATAGAAATTACTATCTTTTAATAATAATGATAATAATAAAAACTCTTATTCTAAGAAAATATGCAACCATAGACCGAGCACCAAAAATTCAAAACTTATGATGTAACTTTTTTCTTCTTTGTCAGCACATCCTATCCATGACAACTCCCTTCCAATTTCTAATCTTTGGGGTTTTCAGTTTTTTAATAGAGGGTCTATGCCACGGACTTGACCCCTCAGGGCTCTTAAAAGGTGACGATTCTTATGGCGCTATTTTTAGGACTTTTCCATAGATGGACCAGTCATCTATTACTGCGGATTATTTGTGTAATTTGGAGCTGCTTATAGTCTGTAGAGCTGATTCGCCAGCATCCCCTTTCTTGAATTGTGCGAAATGGCTTTGAGGATCTTTCTTTCGAAGGTGTCTGCTAACTGCTGTATATCTGAATTTAGGATCCAAGTTTCCCGTCTATAAAGCAGTACAGAAAGTAAGCGTCTTACAGAGTTTTAACTTTATTTTTGCCGCTGAGAAAATTCAATCTTAATTGTCTCCTCAGTCAAAAGAAACATGATTTACCCCTTTTGACTATTGTTGATTTCAGCTCTAAGTATGTTGCTGTAACTTTATTCACTTATTAAAAACAAAATTACTTTGAATTACTAAACTTATTCTGGATTCATTCTAAAGGCATTGAGTAAATACACAATTCTCACATGAAAAAAAAAGTAATTTTGTTACAATTTTAAAATAAAATAATACCTCCAATAGAAATCCAGATATGCATTAAATTTTGATACATTAATTGGGTATTAAAGTTTATTTAAAACAAGATGCTGACAATATTATTGCAATTATGTTTGATTTGATGGCCCCAACAATCCAAACACCAAGGTTATAAAATAAAAATGGAAAACATGACAAATTAATAATGAACATCATTACATGTTCTGTTTTATTTATATAAACTAGCTGAATACCTGTTCTTCATACGGGGTGAAACCGTAAGACAAATACCGACACAAATAATTAAGCTAAAATAATTAAAATGCTATTTATTTATTTATTATTTCTTGGTGGCTTTAAGTTATTAGATTAAGCAAAACATGCATTTAGTAATTTATCCTAATCAGAATTAAGATTAATTGTAATTTTTATAATTTTACATGACGCTGTTGCTTGAGGAAATATATTTAAAATTTACCACAAACTATTTTCACCTGTACTTATATCTTCGAGAAATGTAAAATATTTAGTATAAAATGCAGAGTATTGGTGCAAGTTGTAATCGATACCAAATTTATTCCTAATATACTTTGTACTTATCTAAGAGTATATTTGGCACCACATAAAAAGAGATTTTGTGAGGAGGGTGAAAAATTTGGTAATTATAAAGCCAAGTAACAAATGTTTTAAAGTTTGGCACACCAATTTTACAAAACATCTATTCATTATCTGTATACCATAAATTTCAATAAAAAGAAAATAAATCCAAATTAAATTTTGTAGAATATGAACAATCATATATATGTGTGTGCGTTTAAAAAAAATAAAGGTTAAGTTTACAAAGCACATATCTTTTCGAATAGAAAATAAAAATAAATAATGAAGTGAAAAAGGCAAAGGTATGCTCCAACTTTTCATAGCAGCATTCTGTAAACTTTTCATTGACTGAATGCATTGCGGTGCTTGCTGTAGATAGCCAGTTTACCCAGAAAATTTTATATTATTTACTTTGTGTATATATTAAATTGATAATTACATAATTGATTTCGCCTAAAATAAGAAATAAATTGTGAAATTTTAGAAAAATTAGGATAAACATTAAAATTTTGGAAAAGTAAGGAGTTTAAGACAATTCTGATTCCTTTAACGACTGTACCCAATTGACGACTTTAAAGTTTTTAAATCCGAGTACAAAAAATGCAAAATTTCAAGGTAATTTTGACCTATTTCTATGAAGAAAAAACTTTCAATCGGTTAATATGAAGGAAATAGAATTCCTTTTCTGACTGAAGAAAAACTATAGCAAACAAGCATAAAATCAGTATCAAAAGAACTTACAGTAGAATCTGAGGTCTCAGTTTCTTCAGAGTCAATTGATAAAGTGTGCTCGTCCGTGTCTTTTGTACAATTTAAATTTACCATCAGAGTTCTGTAAATATTTATATAAGACAAGTTAATAATATAATATAGTTTGAAATAAATTTATATATTGTTACTAAATACTCACGCCTCTAAGTAGATTTATCTCATGCAATATTAATAGAATTAAAAAATATGTTGCATAGCACATTTAAAATGCAAATCTAAATCTAACTTATGTATAGATTCAAGATTAGTCACTCCGGCTCTTCTCAGAGATTGCTTCGGAAGCTCTGCTGCACAGTTCAAAGGTATATATATATACACCCAGAAGAATTTATTTCCCTATTTAAAGTGGTAGCGAAATTCAGATTATTCCGCTAAACCAGGGTTGGGTTTATGCTGTCAAAAACTGGTTTTTCACATGACAGTGGTAAAAACCGTGTTTTTATAGGTAAAAACTGTCAAAAACCTACTGTTTTCTTTAATTTATGGCATATAGCAGACAATATATTATTTTCACATAATTGCCCTTATAAATGATTGTTGTAAATGATTGCCATTGATTTTGCAACTATATACATGTATTCTTATAGAAGGATATACATTCATACAGAAATATTGTAATATACTTATTGAAAATAGTGATACTTACTTTTATCATTACAGCTTGGTTTGCAAAGGATTCAAAATTTTACACTTCTTATTTGTTAGAAATAAGCAAACGAACAAAAAAGCTTGGAACTGTTAATAAATTCAAGAACTAAAAAGAAGAATTTAAAATTTGGCATTTCTTAAATATTAGAAATAACCTAAACAAGACTTTCAAAACTTCTAACTACTAAAAACTCTAAGTCAAGAGTTACTGCTATTTTGTCAAGTTGAAAACTTTTATTCAGTTGAAAAAGCACATTAAGCAAAACTTAATTACAAACAAAATTACATGTTCAGTAGTCTGGGTCACTGTGCCGAAGCATACGATAGCAAGTGACTAATTTTGCGCATTCTTCATTGCCCAGTCGATTTCTGAGTTTAGTATGGATGAGTCCAAAATTTGAGAAGGTTCTTTCAATGGATGCGGAACTGGATGGGCAAGACATAAGCACTTGAATTAATTTACACTTTCACTGCTACCCTTTGCTGCAAGAGACTCACATTTAGAAATACCTTTCCACCAGACATAAGCATTTAAATTTGGATTAGCAGCCTTGAAGTATGAAGAAGGGAATGGCTTTTCTTCTGCTTCAAAAGGCGATTATCAGGGGTAAGCATCCAGGAATTCTTGAGTTAGCCCAGTTACGAGCATCTTCAGCTTGCTCAGTTGTAAGATCTTTTCCTTTGTAAACTGGATGCATGAGATACGATAAATAGTGAAATAGCTTTAAAGCTTGACTCATTCTTCCCTTGATGACTCCGTAATAGGGTTCAAGAGACTCTTCCATAAGTAGGCTAATCCAAACTTTGCAAGAGTCTGCTAACGTTGCAGTGTCATTTTGAAGAGCTTAAAGGCTTCAACTGTGTCAGCAAATCCTTGGACTGTTTGTATAGGTTGAAATCGTTTATGGTCTGAGCAATATCGGTTGGTATCTCAGCCTCTTGTTCTTCAACAATCATCTGGAAATAGGGACGGTTCCTCAGGAAAGAGTCAACACATTGCAACTGACTATTACATCTCGTAGCACCTGGAAGCTGAGGCCTGACAGAATCCGCAAAATTCCTCAATAAGCCTGCTGGAACATGGTGATTTCTGAAAAACTTCTGTACTCTAACAATTTTTTTCATCAAACTCTCAGGAGTAACTTCTTGTCCAAGAATATTGATTAAGTGCGATGAGCAACCATACACAAGTAAGTTTTCATTGATTTCACCCAAGATTTGCCTTGCTTTCTCCATGACTTTAGCGTTATCTGTCACTATTGCTTTCACTTCACAGTCGAATTTGTCCATCGCTACTTTGATCAACTCCTCCATTATTTCTTTGTGGTAGTTCGCATCTTTTGGATTGCTCTTGCAATCTGTTGCTTTCAGAAAATATGCCTGGCCATTAGAGTACATGCAGGTGGATATTATTGGATCATTATGGACATTACTTCACCCATCTTCTACTAATGTGACAGTTTTTCCTGTTAGTGTTGGTTGCTCTTGTAGTTTCCTCTATCTCTTGAACAACCTCATCCAGAATAGACTCAGATAATGCTTTTCTACTTGAGGGAGTATAGCCGGGTCTCAATGCAGTTACTAAATCCAAAAAAAGTTGAATGTTCAACCACATCAAATGGGATAGCATGGGCATAAAAAAATTTCCCAACCAATATGTCTAATTGGTGGGATGCACTATTATTTGTCTTAACTATGAAATTTTCAATACTGCCCTTTTTAGGGACAATTTCCTCCTTTTCCATGGGACTATCTTCAACATCACTTCTCTGGTGCTTTTTCAAACATTGCTGAACATGACTTTTCATTCTATCAGCACGATTTGATATGACTTCACCACAAGTTTTACACTTAGCATAAGATTTCCCATCTCTTTCAATTTT